GGTTCAAATTCTTATAGTATCTAATACTTAGAGGCTATGTATTTATTCTCCAAATTTTAATCTATATAATAAACAAGGAGGATGCTAGGGATGGTGAAAGTTCTTCACTAGAGTTGGCCTGAGCCACATCTCCATTAAGGAATTGATCTCATCTTTATTAAGACAATGAGCACAATGTTCAGTGGGTTACATAGTGTAAATACAATCCCCTGTTGCTTACCCTGCACCATAATCCCCAAACACTATGCCCACAATTCAAAACAGGTGTATACAGCTCACATGCTGGTAAAGAGGAGTATAAAAATGCAATCGCCTGTCTTTCCAATTATTAATGGTGGGAGGGAGGGTCTCTAAATGCCAAGAGAGAAAGTACTATAAACATGTATCAATTTCTCAAGTAGGCTTGCTGGGCTCTCCACAGGCGACATCAAAAGTTATTACGGGAAAGTTCATGCAGAGTTCTAGAATTACTCTCACAATCTGACACTGGTAAGGTCAATAAACTTTTCCTTAAAGACATGCTGTCTTAGGTTTTGCTTGTGGCATGCCTTCTCTTTGGAACTTAATTAAAATAATAAAATGTAGTGTTTTGGGGTAGGCTTTTCTTTCCAAGTAAACCAACGAATAAACATGGTTTTATTTTGTAGTTGATTTTTACAAAGCTCAATGCCCAAACAGCCCAATCAATTTGATGACTGTATATTGTGTATTAAAATGAGAAGATCAATAAACTATTATCTTTCCTATTGCTTTCTTACATGAGTTCAGACTTCAAGGAAGCAAAAGTCCATAACTAGATGTTCCTTTTTATGAGTTAAAGACCATAGGAACTCTATTGTATCATTAATCATGCTGTTCTTTCACTCTTTCATGGTTTATTTGTCAGAAATTGTACTGCCTCTTAACAGTGATTGAGTACACGTTTTGTTCTTTACACAAGTGTCTAAAACTGACACTGCATCAAGGTAATACAAAATAATGTCTTCAAACATGAAGACAATTATGTTATATAAATAAAAGAAATATGCACTCCTAGCAGCATAGAAACTGGCCACTAACATGGAGAAATTGACTTCTTCTAAATGGTGCCAAGGACTCTTAAACTTAACAGCCTCTGCCATCCTCTTAGCCATTTCCTGAGGGTAGGTGATAGCATAGGGCCCCTGAGCAAGAATGACCACAAGGAAACATTCTGATTAAAAGGAACTGTACCCACCAACAGTGAGAAGACTGAAAAGATAAATGTATTAATTGCAATATTTTGGAGCGTTCACATAGAACAGAATTTGTTATAAGGTTCATCCTCTTGTACCTCATACAAAATCATTAGATTTTAAAATGTCCTAATGACCTGTAGCAGAT